TTACCTAGGGAAGTGGTGGAATCTCCTTCCTTAGAGGTTTTTAAAGTCAGGCTTGACAAAGCCCTGGCTGGGATGATTTAGTTGGGGATTGGTCCTGCTTTGAGCAGGGGGTTGCACTAGATGACCTCCTGAGGTCCCGTCCAACCCTGATATTCTATGATTCTATGATTCTAAGTGCCATGCAAATATCTGTTCTCACTTTCAGGTGAAATTGTAAATAAGAAGCCGGTAGCATTATGTCCCGTAAATGTAAACAAACTTGTTTATCTTAGTGCTTGGCTGAACAAGAAGTAGGACTGTGTGGACTTGTAGGTTCTAAAGTTTTACATTGTTTTGTTTTTTGAGTGCAGTTATGTAACAAAAAAAAATACATTTGTACATTGCACTTGAACGATAAAGAGATTGCACTACAGCACTTGTATGAGGTGATTTGAAAAATACTATTTCTTTATCATTTTTACAATGCAAATATTTGTAATAAAAATAATAATATAAAGTGAGAACTGTACACTTTGTATTCTATGTTGTAATTGAAATCAATATATTTGAAAATGTAGAAAAACATCCAAAAATAGTTAATACATTTCAATTGGTATTCTATTGTTTAACAGTGCAATTAAAAGTGCAATTAATCATGATTAATTTTTTTGAGTTAATCGCGTGAGTTAACTGTGATTAATCGACAGCCCCAGTTTAAAGCAAACAGCCTAAGAGTGACACTTTGTGGTCACAAAAAAGTGACAGCATTCATCTTAGAGAAGGTGGAGCTTGAACTGATCTTTAAGCTAGAGACTTTGGTTGGATTTTCAAAAGTACCTAAGTCACTGGGAGTTTTGCTGTCATCAGTATTTTCGAAAATTCCACGTCTTACCACTGTTTAAATCATTGCTTGTATATTATATTTGGGGGTTTAATGAACAGTAATATTGTATGTGAGAGAGTGATGGTCTTAGCTATGAGTATTACCTTTGGAAGGATGATTTTGGACAGAATTGACATTTTTAGTAATTAGGTAACTGACCAAATTCCTAAGCTTTAACTTTAGCATTACACTGGTTGAACCGTTATGGATGTTCCCATAATATAATTGGCATATAAACTTAATTGGTAAATCGACAAGGGCTGGGAATCTAAGGGAATCCCTAATTCTTGGGTTGGGACAAAAATTGCCAGCCCAGATTTATATAGAATAGGATAGTTTCTTTATGTAACAAGACTGTCAGACTTGGAGTAACTGATTTGGTCTATTGCCTATTGGACAAATTTTAACTTTTCTTGTCAAATTCATTCTTTTTAATTTCGTAAAAAGACCCTACCAAATAACCTTCTTTATTTTGTTTTCTGTAATTCTCTCAAATTATTTTTGCTAATGAAACTTGTACATTTACAATCCTCCTCCAGTCCGTACTTCAGCTAAGGAACAGAGGCACAAGAACCGTGCGAAAGGTGGCATAGGTAACTGCTTAATTAAAACTACTTAACTAATGTGTGTTTTATACCGTTATTGTCCTCTCTGATTTGGCACCTGAAAGATCTTCTAAAGACAAATTTTAGAGGTAGAGACACAATACTGGTAAGGTACAGAAAGGTCTCTGGTTTTGCCAGAAAAAACTGAGAAATAAATTAGCTCTGAGAAAATAATTAGCACAGCCATTGACTTATTCACAGACCATAAATTATAATGAAAGATCTGGGAAATACTACCGAGATTCTAGAATCCGAAAACCAAGCCCTATGAAATTAATTGAAATGTCAGAATCCCCAGAGACTGAGTAATATATAAACTCAAAAGAAGTCCAGGAGGTAGACTATAAGGTGGATAGAAAGCTGGCTAGATTGTCGGGCTCAACAGGTAGTGATCAATGGCTCCATGTCTAATTGGCAGCTGGTATCAAGCAGAGTGCCCTGGGGTCGGTCTTGGGGCCGGTTTTGTTCAACATCTTTATTAATGATCGGGATGATGGGTTGAATTGCACCCTCAGCAAGTTCGCAGATGACACTAAGCCTGGGGGAGTGGTAGATACGCTTGAGGGTAGGGATAGGGTCCAGAGTGACCTAGACAAATTAGAGGATTGGGCCAAAAGAAATCTGATGAGGTTCAACAAGGACAAGTGCAGAGTCCTGCACTTAGGAAGAAAGAATCCCATGCATCGCTATAGGCTGGGTACCGACTAGCTAAACAGCAGTTCTGCAGAAAAGGACCTGGGGATTACAGTGGACGAGAAGCTGGATATGAGTCAGCAATGTGCCCTCATTGCCAAAAAGGCCAACAGCATATTGGGCTGTATTAGTAGGAGCATTACCAGCAGATCGAGGGAATTGATTATTCTGCTCTATTCGACACTGGTGAGGCCACACCTGGAGTATTGCGTCCAATTTTGGTCCCCCCACTACAGAAGTGATGTGAACAAATTGGAGAGAGTTCAGCGGAGGACAATGAAAATGATTAGGGGACTGGGGCACATGACTTACGAGGAGAGTCTGAAGAAACTGGGGTTAATTAGTCTGCAGAAGAGAAGAGTGAGGAAGGATTTGAAGCAGCCTTCAACTACCTGAAGGGGGGTTCCAAAGAGGATGGAGCTAGGCTGTTTTCAGTGGTGGCAGATGACAGAACAAGAAGCAATGGTCTCAAGTTGCAGCGGTGGGGGGCTAGGTTGGATATTAGGAAACACTATTTCACTAGGGAGGTGGTGGAATCTCTATCCTTAGAGGTGTTTAAGGCCCGGCTTGACAAAGCCTTGGCTGGGATGATTTAGTTAGTGTTGGTTCTGCTTTGAGCAGGGGATTGGACTCTCCTCCACCCTGATATTCTATGATTCTATGACTCTATGGTCTCTAGTTGAAGGGAATTGTCTCTTGATGCCAACAAATTGAAGCAGTATGAATACTCCCAAAAGAGGGCACTGGTCCAGGAACTTATAACACTGACCCAGGGTAAAAATGTCATTCTCAAACAGAGCTGAAGAGATTAATAAACATAACAGGAATTAATCATACACAACACGGATATAAATGATCTTATAGGCCTTAATTTTTAGGTAAACTTTGAGCAGAGTAAGAATACTGAACTATAGAACATGTCTTACCACCATAGAACGCAGTGGTAATGATGACCATACTATGCCGGGGCAGTTAGACCTTGAGGAACTCTCTCTTTAAGGGTTAAAACAGAGCATGATAACTCAGACAGAATTCCCCTGGATAAAGTCATTATCCTCATGCAGAACGCAAGCCACATCCTGCAAAAGGGGTAGAAAGGTCCAAGAGACCTCCTAAATAAAATGGGACTCTGAATCCTGAGACTGACAAAATATGTTTCAACGGCTTTTACCTTAAGCCGGGAAATTCTAAGGATCTGCCATTAACACCCCATTTGCAGAAGTGGCTAGATAGGGAATGGGGTTGGAACTGTGACTTTAATGAATGCCTTCCCGCAGCTCTCGAGAGGGTCTGGCAGAAGGATTTTACATGCAGTGAATGGGTTGGATCTGTCACTGCCTTTGTGACTCACCAGTGGAACTGGTCAAAACATTTCAAAATACATATTTTTTGATGAAAAAAGGGACACCTTTCTATGATTTTTTCCCTCCAATTTTCAGCTAGCTCTACTCATCAGGCACATAACAAGGCCAATAGGGTGGCCAGAACACTGGACTAGGACATCCACAGAAGGCTCATCTGCCCAGAAACCTAGATGCCAACACAGATGGTTACAGCCTGTGTTAGATCAAATTCTAGATGCCAACTGAAGCTTCGGGGACATTACTTATCCTTACACAGAAAGTTTAAGATCTTACGTATTCATAATAATGAAGTATAATGAATCAAATTGGTATAGGTCACCATTCCTTCAGTTGATCCTTCTCAATGTGTTTTCCACCCCCTTCCTCCTCCTTTCTCATCTTCCCTTTGTCAGATCTCTCCAGGCCAGCTACATAAAAGCACTTAAGCTTGTACTAATTTTAAGCATGTGCTTAAGTCCCATTTAAGCCACTCTGCTTTTAATTATTTTGTTTCCTGGAGTTCATACTTTGAGACTTCTTCTGCTGGGCTGTCACTTTTACACTTGGGGCTGCTTGGTAGTTTGTGTACTTGTATTTGCGGCTGTCTGATAGGGGCTTTGGTCTTCTTTTCAGTAACTACAGTGTGTATTACAGCCTTCTGGTCCAAGGAAAGCTGGCAACAAAGCTGCTTATTGTAATTTATTTCATTTAAGTAGGGTTATATATATATGAGCTGCTGTGTAAATATTAAACAATTAACCTTAGTGTCAGGCTAACCTGCACGCTGGCTTGTCACTAGATTAAAAATGCTTTTGCACCTGTGCTTAGGAGTCATTTAAAAACATCTTGCACCTTCAAATAAAAATATGCTTTCTTGTCAGGGTTTTCCTCCACCTGCTGGTGGCAGCAGGGGTGGCAGAACCGGGGGTGGAGATGGGAGGGGGCGGGCTGACGTCCCTGCAATGGAAATATTGTGGGGGCTCCATCCCCAGGTAAACTTACACGTCTGTGGGGGGAGAAAGGGACAGAGGGATGGAGGCGAGAGCAGGATGCAGAGTGGCTGGAGTGGCTGCCGTGGGGCCAGGGAGCAGGGACCCAGAGGAGCTGGAATGAGCCCAGGAGCAGGTGGGAACACCTGAAACCCTCCTTCCCAGCCTGGAGCCGCCTGCCTCTCCTTTCCCCCGATGAGCACTGCTCTTCACTCCCTCTCCTATCCCTTTGCCCCCTCCCATTGGCAGGAAGCTTCTGCCTCCCCTAAATGCCAGATTCCCTTGGGGACATTCCACAGACTAAAGAGGGTGCGTGCAAAAGTTCATACTCACTAGGAGCCTGATTCAAGGCCTGCTGAAGACAGTGAGAGTGTTTGGATGAGGGTTTGGATCAGGTCATTGGTCAATATTCACTTTGGTGAGGATTCTCCTTAGTGCTGGTGTGGGGGATGGTGCATAGACACTATGATTTTCCCACCCTCTCCCAAGCCCTGCTCCCTTATGCCTACCCCTGACAACAGCATGGATCCATGTACCTGTGGAGGGACTACCACGAAGGCTGGGAGACGGGAAGCTACAAGGCCACAGAGGAAGCACCTCACTGTTCTGCTCTTCTCAGCAAGAGATCCACCAAATTTTCATTCGTTCCACCCACAAAGACAGATGGGACAATCGGGCCCATAATTTTCTCAATTAAAACAGAATCCCGCATAGTAAGCAGAACGTTTGGAACACCTTGGGTGGCCTGTTTGTGATTAGAAATGAACCAGCCAAGCAAATATTTCAGTTACCTTGTCCTCCCAATTACCATGCTGCCAGTTTGTTTGTGTTCCAACTGCTGTCACTTGTCAGATTTTTTAAATTAAATTAATGGAGATATCCCATCTCCTAGAACTGGAAGGGACCTTGCAAGGTCATTGAGTCCAGCCCCCTGCCTTCACTAGCAGGACCAAATACTGATTTTGCCCCAGATCCCTAAGTGGCCCCCTCAAGGATTGAACTCACAACCCTGGGTTTAGGAGGCCAATGCTCAACCCACTGAGTTATCCCTCCCCCCACATAGTTTAGACTGCATAATGTTTTGTGCACTAAGTTAAACCAACAGTGTAGCTCTAAATTTGCAATAGAGTTAATCAATACAAAATAAATCTATGTGCTTATTCAAAGTCAGCAATAGAAGGTAAACATAGAAATCTGACAGATTTTGAGAACTGTATGTCCCAAGAATTGATGAAAAACAATTTGTGCTGTCCACAGAATATAGCATGTCCTGTGGCTATCTACACAACACCTCGGCCCTAGTGGAAAGTGCAGTCAAGTGGTAATAGGGCCAGATCCAAAGCTCATTTATATCAGTGGGATCTTTCCATTAACTACAGTGGGCCTAAGATCATACCTATAAAGCAGAAGGGCTGGAACTTTGAAGACTTGGATTCTATTCTTGACTTTGTCACATTGGCTTCCTCTCTGAGGGTCTATGCTGCAGCAGAAAAAGGTTTGTTGATATAGCTATACAGGTCTAGTTATACTAAACCCTTCTAGTGTACATTCAGCATCTACCAGCAAAAATGTGCTTTTGCTGGTATAGCTTATACCAGTTCCCCAAACAAAATAAGGACTTTTATGCTGGTTTAATTGCACCTACACTAGGACTTTTATCAGTATAGAAATGTTGTAAAAAAATCACACCCTTAATCAACATTATTATACCTGCAAAAGGTTCTAGTGTAGATCTGGTCTAAGAGTTAGTTGTCCCCTCTGTAAAATGGAGATGATAATAATATTAATCCACTGCTGAAAAGCTCTTTAAATTCTTCAGAAGGAAGTTGTGGTACATGTGAAGTGCTGTTATTACTTAGAGGAATTGGAATAACCTCATATCTGGAAGGACACAGAGTTTCTAACTTGTTTTGTTATTCAGGAAATAGGTGGGGTAGAATATTATGTTCCGATATGGGGCCCCTTTGCACTGCTCCACCAGCACAAAGCAGATGAGAAACTTGACAGAACTGGCTGATGGGATTTCTCCTGTATAAGGGGAAGCCTACAGCTGTCATAGTGGCTTCCTTCAGCCTGTGCCACTTCTGCCTCACCTGCATGCTGGGGGACCTCATATGGAACACAGCTCTGCAGCACGCAGGTGTTGCATACCCTCTGTGTAAGGTCTCAGAATCCTCCCCCTCCCTCATTTTCTTACACTTAAAGAAGCAGTACTCAGAAAACAGAACCCAAGCTGCATTCTCCACAATAAGTATGTATTATTTAAAAATACAGCTGCAGACACTAATTAAAGGTAGGGGAACTGACCTGAACTTCCACCCAAACTCACACCTTGCCTTCATGCCAGTTTAGAAATGTCTGGATAGCCATTTTCATCCTTGCTTGCCTCTATACCTGGCTCCAGTGAGCACTGAAAGTGGAAGTGCCTAAATGCCATGAGACCAGCTCATCAATTGACTGAATGTCTTGAAATCTGCTGGCAAACCATGCAGATCTTTGTGCTCCCATGCAAAGGGCTGTTCCACTGTGTGCTGTTCCCTGATCTCCCCTGTATCAGGAGCCATGGTACCAAAGCTGTAGGATGGGTGTTAACACTGAATTGCAGGTCTGTTGTGGCTGTTCTTCAGCTCGGCCCCCTCTCCCATCCAATGGTTGGTTTTTAGCCCAAATTTGTGGAGCCCCATGTGCATTATGCTCATGTTAAAAGGCATCCAGAGGCTTAGAGGAAGGGAGAGATGCTCCTTTGACATTGTATGTGAAATGACCTACCTTGAGCTGCTTTCACCCCATCTGAGTTTAGAAGCAGGGTTAGGAAGATGATGTGGCCCAGGTTGTCTCTGTGCTCCTGAAAGGATTTACAATAAAAATATGGATAAAAGTCCCATAAAAGGAAGCAGCTATTCTCCCCCCGCACCCGCAAAAAAACCCCAGCCAAGAATGCATTTTAATTATTGCAGTCCTATCAAATGAATTGATCTGTCCATTATGTACTTATTCCTTTGTGCCTCTCAGAGCACAAGATTAGATATTGGGAATGAGGAAGGGCTTTGTTTTTAACAGCAGGCAATTAAAAAGTTATTATGTTTGTATAATAGCTGTTCAGTCACTTTCTGTGCCATGATTCACTCACCTTTATGAGAAGTGTCAATAAATATTATACATGTTCCTCTTTCAAAGCACCAAACTCCTACTGGGGGAATTCCCAGAGTACACTATAAAAGGGCTCCCGCTGTCCTTTCTCCATCATACCTGTTTGCTGAGAAGATGAAGTGTGCAAACTTGGCTGTGCTGCTGGTCTTTCTACAAAATGCCATTGCACAGAATGCAGCCACCACCACGATCCAGAATGTGGTAAGATGCGTATTATGATTTTCACAGGCTCTAATGTATTCTTTTTTCCTCTCACTTATTCATGTTGCTAGGAAAATCTTTTAAAATTATTTGAGGCAAGTTTTCAGATCTCCATTCATTCTGTGGACTCTCTGTAAGGAACAAGTGTAAAATATCGCCTTTAACAAATGTGCTGGGATTTAATTATAAATCTGAAAACAAATTACACTGTTTTAAAAAGACAAAATTCTGCCTTCAGTTAGGTGACTGCAACTCCCGTTGCGAATTGGAATAGAGTTTAAATGCAAAATGCAGGTTGTAATTAATTAACTATGGTTTGTACCTGAGATGAGCTCAATCCAAAACCACAGATGCAAACACCACACAGCCTTTTGGAGTGTTGAAGATCTGGATTTAGATCTCAGTGTCTCAGGTTCATTTGCCCAGCACTTTGAAAACATAATGCCCTATATGAGTTCTAGGTGATACTATTAATGCAGTCTCTTGGTCTAGTAGGCCTTGAAAGTGCTGTGGACTCAGGTAGTGAACTCAGCATCTAAGGGGAGGGAATGTTTTTCACTGCAGCATGATTAAGCAGTGGAAATTCCTGGCAGTAAAAATCAAGGCTGAAGTGTAAATATATAATGATAAGCTGAGGACGGGGGAATTTAGAATGTCAGAAATTTCTCCTCATTATGCTCACTCTTGGGTAAATCATAATTTGTGCAGACATTTGTAAAATTTATGATGCTCCTTGTAACTCTGCTGTTAATCACTATCAGCCTCCCCTGTACAACGCTATCAGGGGGCCAGACAAATGGCTGCGTACGTTATCTTTTTGACCAGCTGGCACAAAAAAACCCTGTTTTTTCTGAATCAATTTAAACAAGTGGCCATTTTCCTGCCATCTTCCAGTTCCTCAGCTGTCCAGATGGCTGTTTTAGGGGCTCCTTAGGAGTGGGACTGTCTGACTGGATGGGGGAGTGAGGGAGCAGGTGACGGGGATGCAGCGGCATGAGGCACTGAACCGGTTCTTGGATGGAGTAGTAGGAGGCCTGCAGGGGAAGCTGGCTAAAACTGGGGCTCCAGAGCTCTGTCAGAATGGAGTTTTGCTTCCGCGTGGCTTTGAAGTTGTGCAGCCGGGGATGACCCCTGCCACATAGAGCTCCTGCAGGAATGGCGCATTGCTCTTGTATGGCTGACTAGCAGCTGCCCCCTTGTGCAAGCACCTTCCTGCCCCACACGCCTCAGGTTTAATCATGTCATTTGGTGCACAGTTTATCAAATGGTTTTGCAAGCACTGGAGATTGCCACAGTTCCCATTTGGTGGAGCTCAGCTGCGTACATTGGTGGGCTGCGTCCCTGCGATATAGTGTTTTGTGCAGTACACAGGACCTTGATTACTGTAGACTCCCAGGGATGCATGTTAAGATTCAAGAGTGACATCCAATCTTGCCAGTGCTCTGGAGGGGTAGGACCTGAAACCTTATTCCATAAGATGGCAGTGAGAGGGTATATATTACTTTAGCATAAATAATGCACACTGTTTTGGATAGACTGAGCATTTGCGGCCTTTCATTGATCACATGAAGCTTTTTTCAAAGGAAGGACTCCATGAAACAAAGTTGTACCAGAAGAAACATTAACTGTCTCAGCAGTCAGTCAGAAATCCCAATCAATGTTAGAGCTGCTGGAGATGGCTCCCTTCACAAAATCAAAGTGTTTCAGAATACTGAGGAATCTGGAATGCTGATTGTCTGTCGGGAGAGGGGGTCATGATTTAAATAGGGATGGGACACTTAGTATGTTGCATTGTAACAGGTATTTTTGTTTCCTTTCCAGCCTACACCTCTTCCTACCCTGGTGGAATATCTGACTGAACCTCGGGCCACACTCAACAAACCTCAGTTCATACCAGAGGTATACCATTGTTTACTGTTCTTGGAAAGCTATAGTAAACATCATCATTAAGCTAAGAGAGATGCGTGGTCTAGTATATTAAGCGCAGGACTGGCAATCAGGTGGTTTAGAGGTCTAATCCTGGCTGTCACAGGTCTCTGTGTCCTATGCCAAATTGCTGAGGCTGAAATTTGAGTGCAGGATTTTCAAAATTAATTTCCTAAATTTAGGCTTCTAAATCCATATAAAGTCGCCCAAATAAATGGCCTGGTTTTCAGAAATGCTCAGCACCCCGCAGCTCTCATTTACTTTATTAAGCTACAAATATTTGGATCAGGTTGAATAATATTTCTTTTAGACTCAGATACCTTTATGTAATACATGATTTAATTTTACAAACAGAACTTTTGCAGTCAAGTCCTTGCTGCAGGCTAGGACAGTTTGTTAAATACTCAATGAAGCCTATTTAGCTTTTAAAAATACCACAAACCATACAACCAAAAAGAGCTGAGCTTCAGCATATTTTTATATAGGACTTGGAAAGACGTTATGACCAAAATTAATAATTCGATTGACATTGCACTGTGATCAAAGGAGTCAGGGACCCAGGAAGATCTTTATAATTAATTAATTAATTAATTAATACTGCTTATGGTTTCATCAATATCATGAACCCGGCATACAATAATGTCAACGGAAGAAATGAAAGAATTCTGTCAACATCATATTAAGTCTGAGGAAGATATGAACTTGATGTGATGTTAACGTGCAAAGGTCTTGAAATCTGCAACCATTTTTCATGCTGAATAGTTCTACTGAAACCTGCCCCTCTAAATTCCTGTTAAACATTATCAGCCTTTAATTCTTAGGTCTTACAGGAGTTGAATGACTCAACCCAGAGCCGGATCCAGCATTTCTGCTGCCCCAAGCAAAAAAAAAAAAAAGCCGCGATCGGTGGCGGCAATTGGGCGGCAGGTCCTTCGCTCCTAGAGGGAGTGAGGGACCTGCTGCCCCCGAATTGCCGCTGGTGCCACCCCTCTCCCTTGGCCGCTCCAAGCACCTGCTTGTTAAGCTGGTGCCTGGAGCCGGCCCTGACTCAACCTATTGATACCATTTATTTTTGTGGAGGAAGAATATTCTTATGGTTAAGGCACTAGCCTGGGACTCAGGGAATTTGGGATGGTCCAATGATTGGGGCATTGGCCTGGGGCTTTGGAGAGCTGGATTCAGATCGCTGCTCTGCCACAGACTTCTTGTGTGACCTCGAGCAAGTCATTAACTTCTCTGTGCCTCAGTTCCCAATCTGTACAATGGGGATAATAGCACTTCCCTACCTCACAGAGGTGTTGTAAGACAAATACATTAAAGATTCTGAGGTGCTCAGATAGTAGGACAATGGGTGCCATAAAAGATAGAATTGTTGCCCCTGCCACAAATTTCATGTGTGATCTTGGCCAAGTCACTTAAACTTTCTGAGTCAAATGCTGATTCCTGTTGAAGTCAATGGCAAAATTCCCATTTCTGTCAATGGGGCTCCTCATTGGTAAAGCAGGGATAACAATATTTCTTCCTCCCACCCTTTAGCTATCTTGTCTATTTAGACTTTAACCTCTTCAAGGCAGGGGATGTCTCTTACTATGTATATGTACATCTTCTAGCATAATGAGGCCGAACCTCAGAAGGGGTAACTAGACACTCCTACAATACAAATAATATTTTTTTAATAAGTGGTTGAATCCATCCATTGACGTTTGGTGGGTTTTTGATAGTTTAAATCCACTTTTAAAATAGTTATTTAATTTATTAAATAAACATAGCTAAAGGGCAGTTTGTAATCTATATCAGGGATAAAATAATGTCCCCTCCTCACAGGCTAGCACAGATGGGACCTTATGAAAGGTAAGTACAATAACCATATTTGTCTGGTCATTGGATATTTTCCTCTCTGCTCCTTTTTTCATCATTCCTGCTGAGCAGAATGCAAATCCAGTAATGTGAGGAGTCTGAAGGTGACAGTTCCAAAAGCACCTAAGGGACTTAGGAGCCCAAGGCCCATTTTTAATAGTGACCTAGGCCCAGATTTTTAAAAACTATTTAAGCATTGCTGCACTCAGTTTTGCAATGCCGAACCAATTTAGGTGTCTCAATTTCATTTTCAAAAGGGATTTAGGAGCCCAAATTTAGGGATTGTGTTAATCAATAAAGGAAGCATGGAATGTGGAACAGAAGCCTGTTTATCTCACTTTATTGGAAGTGGACAAATTTAGTCATGGTACAAAACTACTCATAAAAGCGATATTCAACCGCCAATATTTTATTATTTTTTAACTCTGACTGCCCCAATTAAAAAACTTGTTTATGTTCCTATGCACTGATGGAGCAGTGATAAATGTCCATTACTCCACTCAATACCCTGCAGTAGCAGGCATACCAGCTCTCATGTGCATGTGGTTGAGTATGCAACCTGTTTACCAGGGGTAGCTGAAAAATATCAAATGAAACATATTCCCAGTGGGGAAAATAGGGTTAAGTCAAAATCAACATTTTCCATGAAAATAGATCAATTTCTGTGGATTCTTCCATCAGTAAAATCCAAACAAAACTTTGTAAAGTGCTCTAAAATTAATGGACTAAAAGCACTAACTGGACCTGATGCAAAGACCATTAAAAGCAATGGAAAGACTCCCTATAAGATTTAATACGATTATTTCCTGCTCTGCCATTGACTCACTGTCTGATCTTAGAAAAATCATGTAACTTTCCTGTACCTCAGTTTTGCCAGTGTTAAAATAGTTATAATAGAATTTAAGTACCTCTATAGAGGTGTGGTGAAGCTTAATGAATTAATATAGGAAAATACTTTGAGTTTATTGGAAGAAAGTTGTAATAATAATAATTAATAAATGCTTTCAGGGTCAGTATTATTATTAATTATTACGCTCAACTTTTCCCTGCTTGGGGACTGTTGTCAGTCCTTTGGTGTTGTTTCCTAGTAGCATATTGACAATTTTTTATTTGCTTTCTGAAACAAACTTGTTCTTACAGCCATTTGCCAACGTAACCGGCTCTTTGAATGAAAATGGAGTGTGCCAATGCTCAGTGTACCTGCCAGACACCGGGTTTCCTGTGCAGAAGGTCGAGATGCTGGAAATCACAGCCCGAGTGCTTTCTGAGAAATTCGCAATAGAACTTACTAAAGTAAGGATTTTTGGTTTTTCTTTTAAAAAAATCTACCAGTCCTATTTTTAGTGAATGTGAAACAGTCCGGCAGTCAGAACTTTGCAGGGCCTGCCTTCCAAGCACTGCAGTGAGGGGCATGTAAAAATTGCAAGGAAAAGGGTGATTAAACATAAAATGTTCAATATTGTAGCATGCAAGAAGGGCCTTATAACAACATGAGTTTCAAGTATCCTCGGGCCTCATTCCTGGGCCTATAGGCAGTCCCTACGGAGGTTCGGGGCCTGGGGCGGAAGTGATGGATTTGTCTCTTCCGGGACCGACTGCGCCAGTCAATCGCACCGGCCCACAGGGCCTCCCAAAGCACAGGGCCCGGAGCAGTCACCCCAATTCGCCCCACCCAAGGGACAGCTCTGCCTATAGGCACATGGTGTTCTTGGAGGGATGGAGGAAGAGCTATGCTACTCTTTATGAACCATGGAACAGTCTTGTTGGCTTGTAATTGCTATATACAGTCACAGAGGAAGCCATGATTCCTGCTCCCTCCTGTGTTATTACCAAGGTCGACGAGAGGGGGGGAAGTCGGTACAAATTACTGGGGCCCGACGGTCCAGAAGGGGGCCCGGGGTCCGGCTTCCCCCCCTCTCGTTAGCCCTGTTTAGCCGGTCCACCCTTGCTGGGGGGCCCGAAAATTTTTTTTCACCGGGGCCCGAACCTGCTCTCGGCGGCCCTGGTTATTACTTGTATGTAACCAACTTATGGGAGGGAATGAGGGAAAAGAGAGCAAATGTCAGCTCAGCCAGGTTGAAGCAAAAACCCACCCCCTGACCCCCTCCATTCCCATAACAGTTGAAAAAAAAATCAGTTATTTTCTCTGTCAACATCTGATGCTCTAGCAATGACTGTTGAATTATGCATTCTAGTTAAAGACAAACTCCTTACCCTTACACTACTTTGCTTGTTTGTTACAAGGATTCAGATCTCATTTTTCTTGCAAAAATCAGGCAAAACTAGGGGACTACCGTGGTTTCTTGAGAGAAGGAGAACCTACATTTGATTTTTGCTGGTAGATGAATATTCAGGGTTTAAATTAGGTGTCCATGAGAAAGTGTTTGACTTCTCCAGGAGCCAGACATCTTAAGAAATGAAGTGTCCTTGAATTAATCAGTAGAAAAGGCACAGCAGTAAATTATAAATTCTAACCATAAATATTCATAACTCTCTTCTAGTATAATCAAGAATAGATAAGAAGTTATGCATAAAAACACAACAATGTGGGGCCATAATCCTATAGAAGGTCTTTTCAGTTAAAATAATTTGCTTTGAAATAACTAGCGCTAACGATGACATACATTCAGTTGTCAGTGAAGGTATGAAGGGGCAATTTGACAAATCTCAGTGCCTCTCGGCACAAGAGCTACCTGATCACTTTAGGAGGAATATGGAACTTGACATTAATGATCCATGAAAACACTAGGTATTTAAGGGCCCCAAAGTGCTCCCACTGTGATCAGTGGCAAAATTTCAATTGCTTGCAGTAGGACAGGATCAGGTCTATAATTCCCATCCTGAAACTTGGACTAATTCTGCAAGGCCCTCCCAGATCAGAGAGGACTGAAATAAGACCCAACTGAAGCCAATCTCCTATTGAAGTGAAACTCTGCATTGGGAGTTCTGCCTGACTAAGGACCAAGTACAGATGGCAGGAATTGGCTGATTTTTTGAAACCCTGTAGCCATTCTCTGTTAAAAAAATGGCTGGTCTCTAGTGACCAGATCCTCAGCTGATGTCATTTTCTTCAAGTCAATGGAGCTCTGGCAGTGTATACCAGTTCAGGAGTTGGCCCTCACTTTTCAACTCCAGTGGGAAATACCAAAAAAAAATCTTGACCTAATCCGAGTTTCACTGCACTTTATCATGTTGAGTTTGATCAGCCAAACAGTGTTACAATGCATCCAGTTAGATATAGTGTGACAGATCCTCCAATGTGATCCCAGGCAAAGAGACATCAGGTCAGAAATGAAAACAAACAAACTGTATTTTTGTTTAACTACAGGGGTGTTACAATTTCATAGTTAGTTATTATGTTGCTTGACCATAGAATGAAAAAGATACCAGGCGTTGACTTGTTCGTCTCTGAGTTCAAGTAAAATTGAAATGTCTGGAGATGGGCAGAAGACACTTGAATCTATGTGCATATCTGTACTTGTCTCATGTAAACATATTTCTCAGGCTCTCTTTGAAATTAGTTTCTTACCTTTCTAGTTGTAAAGGTACCCCTCAGTGTGTAACCCAATGTACTGCTGTTTCCTGAAAATACTTATGGACAAAATGAAACAATAAAACCAAAAGATCTCCCAACTCATCCTAGCGATAGAGGGGTCTGAACCAAAATTCTGGGTTCCAAGCACCCCCAAACTATGGGGATGTTCAGATCTACATCCAATTTTGCAACCCAGACTCGTCTTTACACATTATGGAGTGGGAGCGTCTACTGAACTACTGTGAAATTTGAAACAACTAGGCAAATCATAAACACTTGGATTTTGGTTTTGAATCTGAGAACCACTTTACAAAGAGGGTTGGAATAACAAACAGATCCTCAACTAATTTAAATGGATGTAGCACCATGGAAGTTAGTTTACAACTTACTAATTTACACCAGCTGAGGATGTGACCCAAATGCCATAACTGTATTTCAGCATCCCATTGTGGATGGGTTCAATCTTATCTTACTTGCTTAGTCAAAACTCCATTTAAAGCTAATGGGAGATTTTCCTGAGTAAGACTTGGAGGATCCAGCCCCTTAAGAGGTGCTATACATGTATTAGAAGTCCCAGATATACAACCTGATTGAATCTTTAAGCTTTTGTCTGATTGTAGGCTGCTAATTCAACAAGCAAGGGGGGCCCTTTTATAAAATCAGCAGGCAGTGAATTTCACAAAGAGATACTCTGATATTCCAAATCAGTAAAAAACTGTAGCCTGAAAATGTTGGACTAATTTTTTCATCTGTAATTATCATGATGAAAAAATTAACTTGTTAGACTAATGCAGGAATCAGCTTTGATCACAACAGTGAAGAGGAGTATGGCTCTCTTTGTGCATCTCATTAAAAGGGAAGAATAGCAACTTTAATCCAATGGGAGAATGTGCCTTTCAGTGCTTTGACCACAATGCCCAGAACATGCTTGAGCAATAAAAACAGGAAGAGCAAACACACCTGCCCAACAGAGATGAAAACTATATTCAAGATAGATTATTCTGTTGGAAATATTCCTCTTGATCTCAGGCTGGGTTATATGACATGCGGGTGGCATGCTCACCATGTGATCATGGAAGTCAGTCTTGCCTGTGGCCAATGCACTTGCACGTGAATTGCTTGCTCATTTCATTTCTATCCCCCTTTCTCTCCCTCTCCATCTTTTTTCATTTTATGCCTTCCTTCTGCTTCCTCATTCCTCCACCCCCACCCTCCACCTGCATGCTGGAGGAGTGTCTGCTTGCATGCTGAGAAACCTGTGTTGATAAATACCAGTTTTGGGTAACTGACACAATAAATGAACATTACAGATTTTCTCCCTGCCCTTTTCAGGCCCTTAGTGTGAGAATGCTTGCAAAGCAGAAAAAACTAGATAGGAATTATTCTTACGCATGCCAAAAATAGATGAATTTTATATTTCTTTAAGGGTGAAATTCACCTCCTGCAGAGGTCCACCACAAGGCCTATGCACTACTCAAACCCCACTGCAAAGCTCTGTGATGAATGTGAGATGCATGGTGAATACTGATCTGTACCCCAAAATGTGGTTTATGTACTAGATTTCAGAGATGGTGTGTTGGCCTGTTAGAGGGGAGCAGATGGTTTCAACACAATCCCCCACAGGTAGATACAGTCACAAGCTATTAAGGCAAAATGGGTCTAACTGCCAAGCAACAGAGCAGCCTCATGGGAGGCATTCTCCTAGATGGCCTGGCTGGCCAACTGGGAAAAAACAGTCTGAGGTAGAAGGAAGACTGGGCATTCCGACAAAGTGGGCATTCACCCACGAAAGCTTATGCTCCAATACATCTGTTAGTCTTAAAGGTGCCACAGGACTCTCTGTTGCTGGTCTCAGACCTGAAGCTCTTACTTATGAGAGTAGCCCTTACTTATGCAGGTAGTCCACTGACTTCAATGGATTGCAGATTTGGCATATTTTTGGCAACTAGATTTTCTTTTAAAGCATTTATTTTCTTTAAGTATTTTAATATTATTAGCATTGGGATAGATACTCACATTTCTGAACGTTTGTGCCTGTGGTATAGGTAATTGTACACATCAGTACGCATTTTCTCCACATGGTTGCCTACTTTGTGCTCACCAGTTTGCAAATGCAAATGTATTTTTGTGCATGCGGTGGGTTCATGTGCAAATTTTACAGGCACAGTTTAGACACTAACTTTTAAACATCTTCCCCACAGAGATTACTGGGGAAAGCTCCCAGCTCTCATTGGATTTTTGTGAGTAGCAAGGTAGTCAGAATCCATCCTCTCTTCAAACAACATGGATCTTGCTCTATGGACTGGTCCATGTTAGGGTGGAGGTAGGGAAATTTAGACATATCTATGGTGAATGTCCAGTCAGTTAGCTCCATATATAGAAATACAGTTAAACAGACACTATTTATTTTGATTCCAACTACAATACATTTTATTATTCCTTAGCTTGAATTTATACAGGACTAAAACTATGAGAGCCAGATCCTCAGTTGGTGTAAATTGGGGACTCAGTTGGTGTAACCAGGAGATATTCAAAGACCTGAAACTCAAAAAAGAGTCATACAAAAGTGGAAACTAGGTGAAATTACAAAGGATGAATATTAAAAAAAAACAACAGAAGCATTAAGGGACAAAATTAAAAAAGGCCAACCCCCCCAAGATTAATCTAGCTAGAGACATAAAGAGTAACAAGAAAACATTTTACAAATATATGAGAAGCAAGAAGACGACCAAGGACTGGCGAGGCCCATTACTCAATG